GGTACAACATTTTCATTTAAACACTGCTTTTTTCTGCCCTATTTTATAAAGCAAAGACTTTATTTGTATGAAACAAGAAGCAGCTTATGATGTCAGCCCATATTAGTAAGAGATCATTTGTAAATTGTTGTTGATCTGGTAAAAAAAAAAAATCCTCTTCAGTGTCTCTAAAAATACAAAGGATCGAACATGTGTGTCATCTAATTGTAAAGTTTTAAATGATAATAGTCTTTTTGTACAAATGTCTTAATTTGGAACAACATGGTTGGTCTTGTTGAAGGTGGAGCGCTCTAAAAGGTATGAAGAAGAGATCATCCACATCCTGTCTCCACATCCACCCAAGGGTACAAGGGGCATCCAAAAAGAGCACTCGGGGCCAGAGGGGGAGCACTCTGAATCCTCTGAGTCTGTGAGTCTGCTATAATATCACATTTAATATGTCAAATTCCTTTTTTGTTTGTTTGAAAGGTGGCCTTTAATGACTGTATTCATCGGGCAAGAGTAATAGTTTTAAATGCCATGATACAGTCTTTTTCACGCCAATCAGTGAGAGCTGTTTTACCAGATAAAAATAAAAATCTGAATACTTTATCACTAAAATTATTGTCTAAAACAGTGTTGAAGTGCATCATCTGCTCAACTTTGGTCAAAACCAGACAGCTACTGTGTGAAATAGTTTGACATTTTTGGAAATAGATATTTGCTTTCTTGATCAAAATTAAATGAGTAGAGTGACATAGTTCTAATGTGTGTACAGCAAGCAGTCACTTAGCATAAACTCTGCCTTCCAGCACTTCCCAAGCTCACTAATTATTTTAAGTGGTAATGGTCTTATATTTGTATAGTGCTTTTCTATGCTTTACAGCACACTCAAAGTGCTTTCACACTACTTGGTCATTCACCCTCACACACCGGTGTTATCACCAGGAGCAACCAGGGGTTCAGTGTCTTGCTCAAGGACACTTTGACATGTTGGCTGGACTAGCCGGGAATTGAACCACTACTCCTCTAGTTAGGAAATGACTCGCTCTACCTCCTGAGCCACAGCTGCTCCTATTTTATCTCATTAGTTTGAGTCGTACAAAAATCAAAGTGTAAAAAGGACAGGCTGTCGTCAAGGTGAGCTCATGTGACAGAGCAGTAGCTTCCTGGATTCTCCGCTGGTTGCCTGGCAGCTGCTTAGCTTTAGACAGTTTTTCATGATTGTTTTTAATACTAAGTTAAGCTAACTGAATGTCACTGCACTGGACTCTAAATTAATTTGCACTCATCTAAAGCCAAGCCACAGTCAAGGGTTTATGACATTATTTCAGGTGATGAGCGTCTGTCTGTAATCTAAATCATTACCTTTGCATGCTGATAGTTGGCATGTTTACACTGACACTCAAGCCTGAAGAGCTCTCTCAGTTGCTGCCTGCTCTGTGTGTACATGAATGTGAATGTGAAGCAGTGGGATTAGATCTGTTTGGCACAGACCATGATGCCAGAATAAATAGAGCTAGTAATCCTGTTCTTGACTTCTGCATTTGCACTGTGAAAGAAACCTCTCTCTTCTGAAGTGTGCAACCATCTCACACTTCAGCAAGCTGAGGCTTGTTAAGATGCACCAGTGGTGATATGTTGAGAATAGGCTTAGTAATGTGCTTTTCGCACACATTTATTGTGCCATTTGTAATTCATTTAATAGGTAGAAGAGTGCCATTCGTAAAGATAAGGTGAAATGGTAATGTAAGAAAAATACTCTAAAATGATATAAATGGAAACAGTCGTTTGAATAAACTTAAAACACCACAACATATATGTCATGCAAAAAGCAGCAATAGGAGAAGCAGGAAAATGTCATTTCCTACAGTTATGTGAACCAAATACATGTGTATTTATACATTCTTTGCAGCAATAGAAAACAGTACAAAATGTAAAAGAACAGAGCAAAATGGCTGCATTTAGCATAACATGGCCTACAGGTACTTCTACTACTGCTACGACTAATAATAATAATAATAGTAAAACATACTGAGTATTCCATTATCTAACAGCATGCATCTGTGTTGTGCAGAGAAGGAAAGGAAAATGCTGACATACTGCAAGTTTCCACACTGACATACACACTGTTTGTAATTAGCAGAGTGCTGATTGTGCTTGTGTTACTGTGTGTGTGCTGCAGCTGGGATCGTCTCGACCTAACACAGCTCCAGGGAAGATGCAGAGGCCGGTGCGTCTAAAGCCGATCAACAGCAACAGCGCCACAGCTTCTCTCAGACGCAGCTCCCCGTACAGAGTCATTGAGCCCTCCAATGAGAACAACCAGCCCTTCAACTGCACTGTGAGACTGTGATGCTTTAGACAGTAATTTGTTCACCTACCCATATGTACAGAAGGTGGGAGGGTCAGGTTTTTTCTATACAGACAAGGACATTAATTTTGAGATAAATATTTCATCTTTTTAAAGTACCACTTTTTGTTAAAAATGAACAATTTCATGATTTCACATCACCAATCCAAGCTCTGAGCAGACACATACCTCCCTGACAAACACTTGTATACGCTGAAAACCACTGCTCATACAGTACATACAGAGACATTGTCATTATTCTGCTACAACACACACTGAAGTCTTTTCATACAGCGTGTATGACTTCATTAACTTCCCTCCCAGATGGACAAGGAGTCCTGGAGACATCTGACCACAGCAGAGGCCTCCCGTGGCATCTCACCCTACTGCCTCCCAGTCATCAACAACTTTGTCACTCCAGTGCCTCCAGTTACAAAGAAAAAAGAAGGGGGGTTAAAGGTCACTCGCAGCAGCACACTCAGAGGCCGCAGACTGCGCCCTACCACTGTCTCCAGTGGAGCTGATGTCAGCGAGGTCTTTATCACTCTTCAGGTTTTCTCTGGCAGCAAAATTATGAGCTGCAGTTCTTTGGGTTAATTAGGAAAGTTACTGATTTTCCTTCAGTAACAGAAGGAGGTTGTATTGTATGTCTAAACTTTGCCAAAATGCAAAAACAGAACCGTATGTGTTTTAACACATTTGTATAATATTTACAGTATTTGCACATTTAACTCAGAGGTTAAACTGACACTGGACAATAAACTAAACCAAAAAAAGTATCAAGTATTTTACTGCACAGTTTATTTATACAAATATTAAATTAGTCCATTTTTGCCGATCATAGTGTAATTTATCAAGACAAAATATAAGAGGTTAGACAACATGAAAAAACAATAATGCAATAATATATTTTAAATTAAGGATAATTTTAATTATATTTATCATGATAGAGATAGTTTAATTTTCATCCTCCATAACACACAACTGTGAATATCAATCACTTCACGTCAAGGTTAGGAAGTTAAAATAATTTCCTATACTGACTGAAACTGATATGAAACTGGGCCAAACCTGCCTTGTTTTACATCCAGGACCACCCCCTGCTGAGGAGCTCTGTACACCAGAGCAGAGTGTGTGTGAAAATGGTGTACTTTGGCAAAACGGTGCATCTCGCCCACGACCTCATCGATATGAGGGATGAGGTCAAAGTGTTTCAGCAGCACTGTGGAGGACAGAACCTGTGTGTGTACAAAGGCAGGCTCCTTGAGGGAGGTCAGTACTTCAAGGCTGCATATTTAATAACGATCCTGCAGTATCTCTCATCTACATCCTCAATCCTTCAGATACTTTCCAGTTCATTTCAAGGAGACACCGAGGTTTCCCCTTCAGTTTGACATTCTTCCTGAACGGGCTGCAGGTGGAGCGGCTCAGCTCCTGCTGTGAGTTCAAACACAGGAAAGGCTCCAGGCTCGGTGGCAGGAACGGGCACTTTGGCCTGTCTGGTGTCGAAGGGGCCTCTCCCTGCTACAAGTAAGGTCTCTTTATACAGGTGCACTTTGTCTGTAATGAGTCCCCACTTTTAAAGGACTAGTTTGTCATTTAGGGAAAAACATATTAGTTTTTTCTTTTTTGCTTGTTTAATTTGTGTGATACAATACTCTTCCTTATATAATGTAGTCAGGCTAACTGTCTCCACCTATTTCCAGTCTTTATGCTTAAATAAGCTAATTTCTCCTGGCTCCATCTTCAAGCAGTGCTAATCAATATTTTATATTAACAATGGCTCTAATGACTACTTGTATGTGAAAGGGGCAGTGGATGAAACAATCCACAATTATCCACAATTATCACATGAGAGTTTTAGCCCCTTTCAGCTCATTGTTATGGTTTTGTCACACAGCTTTGATGTTATGCTTTACTCTCACCATTCTCATAGGGTACTCTGCCCCCACACACACAGCCCAGAGACATGCAGCTTAGGTTGATTGGCGACTCTAAAGGAGGAGTGAGTGTGAGCGTGTGTGGATGTCTGTCTCTAAGTGTCAGCCCTGTGATAGACCCTGTCTAGGGTGTACTCTACCTCTCACCCAGTATGACTTCACCCCCCCTCCCCCGTGATCCTTGTTAAGATAAGCAGTATAGATGATGGATGGATGCATGGATTCTCATAAACTGCAGACTGACAAGCTTAGTGACTAACTGGTGAACATAGTGGAGCATTTAAGAACTAAAGAGGCAGAAGGTTCCCTCAGAAGCTGGAGGAGGAGACCAAAGATAGAGCTAAAAGAGAGTTGCTCCATCAGGTCAAGTGTTGTGTTTTCCAAAAAAAAAAAAGGTTACTGCCTGGTCTCTGGTTAGACATGAGAGTGGTGTTCATCTAACTCTGGGTAAGAAAGCAAATAAATGTTTTTCTCAGAATGTCTCAAAAATATTTTTTTTAAATAAGTTCTCATTTTTCAGGTGCATTATCACCATGGGACTGGACAAAAAGCCCATACCTCCACCAAGAAGGGCCAAAGAGGACAGAGAAAGAGAAGAGTCGGTCACCAGCCCACATGAATCTCCTGAGATGGAGAGAGAGACGACTGGAGATGATGAGCTCTCCTCTTCAGATTATGAAATGAGCCAGCAACAGGACACAGCAGCTCAAGTCAATGAAGAAAGAGCAGCTGAGGAGCATAAAGTCAGAGATGGTATAATGGCTGAAAACATGACTGAGTCACTAAGAAATAAATTTTGTCTAATCTCCTAAATGTATAAAATGCAAAATAAAGTGATATATTTAGAAGAGAAAGAAAGAAATGTACAAACCCCAGTTCCAATGAAGTTGGGACATTGTGTAAAATGTAAATAAAAACAGAATACACTGACTTGCAAATCCTTTTTGACCCATATACTGTATAATTGAATACACCACAAAGACAAGATATTTAATGTTCAAACTGATAAACCTTTGCAAATATTCACTCATTTTGAATTTGATGCCTGCAACACGTTCCAAAAGAGTTGGGACAGGGGTAGTTTTACCACTGTGTTACGTCACCTTCCCTTTTAACAACACTTAATAAGCATTTGGGAACTGAGGAATTCTTTCCCATTCTTGCTTGATGTATGACTTCAGTTGCTCAAAAGTCCAGGGTCGTATTTTGCACGTCATAATGCGCCACACATTTTCAATGGGAGACAGGTCTGGACTGCAGGCAGGCCAGTCTAGGACCTGCACTCTTTTACTATGAAGCCACGCTGTTGTAACATGTGCAGAATGTGGCTTGGCATTGTCTTGCTGAAATAAGCAGGGACGTCCCTGAAAAAGACACTGCTTGGAAGGCAGCATACTTTGCTCCAAAACCTGTATGTACCTTTCAGCATTAATGGTGCTAAACAGATGTGCAAGTTACCCGTGCCATGGGCACAAACACCCCCCCCATACAATCACAGATGCTTTTCAACTTTGTGCTGATAACAATCTGGATGGTCCTTTCAGACCACAGCACACTTTGCCACTTTGCATCAGTCCATCTCAGATGAGCTCAGGCCCAGAGAAGCCAGCGGTGTTTCTGGGTATTGTTGATGTATGGCTTTCACTTTGCATGGTAGAGTTTTAACTTGCACTTGTAGATGTTGCGATGAACTATGTTAACTGACAATGGTTTTCTGAAGTGTTCCTGAGCCCATGTGGTAATATCCTTTACAAAATAATGTCTGTGATGATGATGTCTTAGTGCTGCCTGAGGGATCGAAGGTCACGGGCATTCAGTGTTGGTTTACGGCCTTGCCACTTATGTGCAGAGATTTCTCCAGATTCTCTGAATTTTTTGATGATATTATGGACTGTAGATGATAAAATACCTAAATTCCTTACAATTGTATGTTGAGAAATGTTGTTCTTAAACTGTTGGACTGTTGGACACCTCATCCTTGCTTATGAATGACTGAGCCTTTTGGGATGCTCCTTTTATACTCAATCATCACGCTCACCTACTTCCAATAAACTTGTTCACCACTGGAATGTTCCAAACAGGTGTTTTTTGAGCATTCCTCAACTTTTCCAGTATTTTGTTGCCCCTGTCCCAGCTCTTTTAGTACATGTTGCAGGCATCAAATTCAAAATGAGTGAATACTTGCAAAAAACAAAGTTTATCAGTCTGAGCATTAACTATTTTGTCTTTGTTGTGCATTCAATTAAATATGGGTCAGAAAGGATTTGCAAGTCAATGTGTTCTGGTTTTATTTATGTTTTACACAATGTACTAACTTCATTGGAATTGGGGTTTGTAGTAACCCATTTTTCTCTACCACGTATCTCAATCAATTTCTTTACTCTAAGATTATGAAGCAGACTTTGAAGAAGATGATGAGGGCCCTGCAAAAGATGCTCAGGTGAAAGAAAAGAAATCCCCATCTCCATCCAGTGAAAGTGAGAGGCAGGTTCAAGAGAGAGAAGCCTCTGAGACTGAAGACGACAAGAAGGGTGGTGGGTGAATGTCCTTGTCTGAACACATCCTTCAAGTACTTTCGAGCATGAGAGCAAAATAACTAAGGTAGCATTTAATCCCCCATCATTTATTCATTGAACACCTGCTTTTAATGAAGCAAAACAGTGTTCAGACACTCACTTCTGCTGATCTATGGATCTGTGAGATGCTGAATTTCATATAGAAAAATTACAATGTTTTCTTTGTAAACCAACAAATCATCTTTTAAGAAGATTCATTATAAATTTCCCTAGATTGAGACTACTTCTATTGATGTACTTTATAAATTGGAGGTTTCTTCAATTTAAAATCCTCCATCTTTCTCATACAGAAGATATAAAATCTCGTTCAGGCTTCAGCTCCTCAGGCAGCAACCGGGAAGAGAGTGACACTGAAGCCACACAAGACTTGAGAGAGGACGAGACAACCAAGCAACCTGAAGAGGTCGATCCAGAGGAAGATGTCACTCCAACAGACAAACCAAATTCAGAAGAAGCCGCTGAGTCTGCCATGGCTAAAGACTCAGATACACCAGGCAGTGCAGGGGACAGCACAGAGATCCATATCTCTGACACCAGCGTCCCCTCAGGGAACGAGAACAAACATAGTGGCGACACCTCAGGTGACACAGAGGCTGAGAAAATGGTAGATGAGAGCAAACAAGAGGACGAACAGGAGAGGGGTGAGTAGAAGCCAACAGATCCGGCCGTGGAGCTTTCGCGTGAGTGAGAACATGGATCAGTCCATCTCGTATGGAGTTTTTTCCACTATTATCACAACCGGGGCTTGAGTGAGTGCACCTTATGTGAGTCAGGAGCAGGTGTGTGTATGTAACTAGAGTGCCACAGTAACAGAGCCCTGACTAAACAATTACTGTCACAGCATGTTCTCTCATTTTAATAGTGGAAAAATTCCTTTCATTGTACTTTTTTCTTATATTTTCTCCAGTGTGTTGTGATTTTCTATCTGATCCACTTTTTGATGTCACAGACATTTTATTTGAAACAATTTTCAAAATGTGTTATTAATAATAAATTCTCACAAACCATATTTTTGATTGTTTTAAAATGTTTTAAACGTAACAAGCTTTTTTAAACTCATCTTTGCTTTTCATGCAGTTTATTTGTCTTAAACTTGGCCTATATAATTTGAGTTAAAAAAAAAAAAAGCTGTGAAATAAATAACTCAAAATGTAGCTCAAGAAACCAAGTGAAAGCCCTCGGGGTGAAACTGAGTCAGAAAAGGAAGAGGAAGCTGCCAGTGATGCACACATACTGTAAACACACTTGAAATCCCGGCAACTATCCAGCTGTGAAGAGCTACTGAATATTCATGTATAGAGAGTAGCCAGAAAAATCTGCCTTTGCATTACAAGCAGCTTCCTTCTTTTTTCCACTGTCTGTAAATATTTAATTTACACTTTTTATTAATGAAACTAGGACTCTAGACATTTTCAAATTTATTTCTACATTCCAATTGTGCCACTGAGACCTGGTGCCACAGTTATTTCACTCTCTTTTGTGTGTGTGTGTGTGTGTGTGTTTCAAAATTACATCCTAAAGCTGCACACAGTAGCCTTAAATAGGTCTTATGACTATGTTTCCCTTTTTGTTTTGTACTGAACTATTTTGTGTGTGTGTGTTTTGTTTTGTGCATCTTAAAGCTGCAATATGTAATTTAAGGTAGCACTAGCATGAAACCCCAAATCCCAATTCATTCTGCTCCACCTAGCACTCCCTCTCCCTGATCCACTAATGTTCCACTACGCTCCGCTGAGCTCTGCCCAGCTCTTCAGACATGTCATTATGAAATTATAATAAATGAGAATGCAACAAAACTTACTAATCAAGCAGTAATAACTGAAAATCTCTGACTGGTTATAGAGGTCAATCCTGTTCAGAACCTTTTAGAAGCTAATATCTCTGCACTGCTGCCAGTGCTGTTCAAGAGTCTGGGTCATGGGAAGCTTCATCAGCGCCAAATTGAGACTAGTTTTGGAGCAGATTTCTACAAGAAAAATATTTGAAAAAGTTACATAGTGTAGCTTTAATTATCACTTACATGTTGTGTTGTTCCCTTATGCTTGCACCTGGAAAGATTAAAGAAATATTTTTGTTTATGGGTCTGTGCTTCTTTATTGTCTCTGTTATCTCACTGCCCTG